CTCTAAAAATAACGTTCCCCTGGTACATTGGTGGCCTGTCACCTAGTGGTACCATCAAAAGTTAGTTAGGTCGTCGTTGTGTTCACCAAAGCCATGTTCACTTCAGAAGACCACCCACCAATCTGTCCGTCCTGGCTATGACAATAAACTACATCCGCGTCCAGGGTAAGACGATAAATTATGTCCAGCAGCAAGGCCAATGATCAGGACGTTTTGAGGAGCGTGGAACCACCTCTTAATTGCTGGTGTTTCCAAGTCCCAACTATGGTCAAATAGTTAAAGCCAAAACTGAATTAAAAAGCCTTATGAAAGGGTAAAAATAGGTTTTAATACCAGAAATACTTTGTAAAAATTACCAGAAATAATTATTTCAAGAAAAAATACTATTACCAGCAATACATTTTTTAAAATAATATCACTAGCTATACATTTTTGAGGATAAACAAATATTACCAATTATTAATAATATATCCGAAATAGATTTTTGACAAAACAAAATATTACCAGGAAAAAAGTTGTCGGCTTAAATAATCCATTGAAGTTGATATGCCGTAAAATAAAATAAACCAAACCAATCTAAACCAAAGAATACATATTCTATTCCTACGAATATATCCTAAAAATCTTGTCGGCATTAAATAACCCACTGAGGTTGATATGCCGTAAAACAAAATAAAGCAAACCAATCTTAACCAAAGAATACATATTCTATTCATACGAATCTATCCTAAAAATGTTGTCAGCATTAAATAACCCATTGAGGTTGATAGGCCGTAAAACAAAATAAACTAAACCAATCTAAATCAAAGAATACATATTCTATTCATACGAATCTACCCTAAAAATGTTGTCAGCATTAAATAACCCATTGAGGTTAATATGCCGTAAAACAAAATAAAGCAAACCAATCTTAACCAAAGAATACATATTCTATTCATACGAATCTATCCTAAAAATGTTGTCGGCATTAAATAAACCCATTGAGGTTGATATGGCCTTAAACAAAATAAACCAAACCACCAATCTGTCTGATAGTAACTGACAAATATGAATTCTGGGAGTCAATGTATGTTTTGTAGAGGAAACTCGGTTTTCTACATCTCGACCGTGCATTCTGTGTAGAAAGGGTTTACTCTCTATTCAGCATGCTTTGATAGACTCTCGAGAGGAGATTCCTGGCTGTTGAGCAAGTCTTTGAATACGCTTGTGTGAACTTGTCTTCGCAGATCTGGCAGGAAGGCTTTGCGTTCTAGATGTTACTATAAAGTATAAGACTCATTGAGGTTTGTGTGCTGGATAACCATGCTAAACAGCCTGATTGTTTCGGCCGATGGAGCCGTTTGTGACGACATCTGTCGGGTAGTTTTAGCGGGGGATTGGAATGCCGTACTTGACCCCGATATGAATCGTATAGCAGAAAAGATCGGGTACTAACAGACGGGATGTGAATCTATTTCAGGACTTTATTGTAAACTTTCATCTTTTCGATAAATATTGTAATGAGCCCACTCGAGAGATAAGCGTGAATTTGGACGAATAGTGGCGACACGATCTGTCTACGACGGTCTAGCTACCTAGACCAAATCATAGTTAAGAGAGACAATGTAGGGCTCTTAGGCTGTCCAAGTTTCCATTCTATATGTTACTTGGATCCGAGGCTCATCCAAGTTCGTGTAAACATAGACAAGCCTAAGGTTAAGGTGGCTGGTTACTGGAAATATAAAGCATCATTATTTGCAGAGTGAAATTTTTAGGACAAATGCTACAGCGGAAGTTGTGATTGGGAATATGTGGTGGAATAAATTAAAATCCAAAATTAGGTCTTTTGTTTCTAATTATAGTCATCGCCTCCTCAGTCTAGTTAGATTAGCGGAGCAAACGGTCTGTGAGAGAAATGTGGATCAATCCCGTGATAGTGAAGACTTAGCCTTACCTAGGGCAGAGTTGGTTTCCTTGCTTATCAGGAAGGATCAAGCTCTGACAGTTAGGGTTAAATAAAAAAGAATGTTTTCCGTGGCAACTAATATGGCAGCTGAATTGCGTACAGAAGTTAGGGATGCGTCCTATCGACATGTTGCGTGCGTCACATTGCCGGATAATTGGACTGTGACTACAAACGCGAGCATACGTGAGGATTTGCGTGATTACTTTCAGGATCTGTTCCCCAGGGAGCCCAATCAGAGAACTGCTCAGTTCGACGCCTACTTGGCCGACTTTCTCCGCTTCGAGACGGCTGGGAGGGAGTGTCCCATTACAGAACCGGAAATCTGGGAAGCGCTGAAGCTGGTTGGCCAGGACAAATCTTCGGGATCAGATGGTCCACTCTACGTAATGTACTTCAGGCAGTCACCTATCCTTGTTCCTTTGCTGGCACTGATTTATAACAACTGGATGACACAGGGGTCTATACCTCAACGCTTCACCAAAGGTGTGATCAAGTTGCTAAGCAAGGACAAGAACGGTGGGGATGGGATATTAACTTCCGGCATTTAATGATTTAATTTTTTTGCCAAGATTTTAGCCATCCGTTTGCAGGCTTGTCCTCCCTCGTCTAATTGGCTCCGAACAGGCTTGTCCTCTGAAGGGAAGGTTTATTTAAGACAACTTTCATATGGTACACTTGATCATCGATCAAATCGATTATAAAACCAGGCTGATCAATTTATTCGAATGGATTGATTCCTGGAGTCTATCCTTTCGTCTCTCGTTAGCGGAAGTGAATGGGGTACGATCGGAGCATTTCGTATTGTTTCGTACCATTCGTTATTGTTGTCCGCTTTCGCCTTTGCTGTACGCTCTTGCATTGGAGTCTTTCCTTCGCAAGTTAAAGAAGAATCCTCCCCTACGCAGAATTTTCCTAACTGGTGCTACCACCACGGCCAGGTACTCCGCTTATGCTGACGACGTTTCGGTTCTTGTGTCGAGCAGAGCCGATAGTTACGTAGTCGGCAAAGAAATCAGAGGGTACAAGGCGGTGACGACAGAGTGTTTGAGTGTCTGGACGAATGATTTACTAACTTAGTCCTGCATTTAGTGACTGTATTTTTTTTTATTACTAAGAGTATTTTGTTTAGTTTCTTGTAAGTAGACATTTGCATATGGTTCTTTTATTCCCATCCCCACCGTACAGATAATGAATTGTACATATGGCGACTAGTTAGAACTTCATGGCGATTCCGAGGCATTATGGTGGATGAAGTAAGAATGATAAGAATATGTTGTTTTGATGTAAGAAATATTGTGGTATATTTGGGTCAGTGATAGTGACTAGATAAGACAAAAGAGGACCAGCCTTTCCCTATCCCTCCTTTTGGCCTTGCGCCACATTTTTGTATAATTTTACTAAATAAATATCGCTCTTCGCTATGGTAACTAGACTTTTTAGATTTAAGCGCAGGGCTAGACTGTCGTCTAGATCTCATCAATTCACATGGAGCTAGCTAGATGTAGCTATAAGTTCTATGCAAACAGTGCCTTTTCTCGCACTTCTCGCTTGTGAAATTCCTTTCCGGCTCCATGCTTTCCAGCCAAGTTTAATCTGCAAACATTTAAATGCAATGCCAATCGCTATCTACTGCCCTCCTGATTACTCATTCCTCTTTCCTCTCTTTAGTAATGTTTCTGTGTCTAATTCATCCAAACCCCGAAACACCCTGTGCCTTAGGGGCTTTATTATCTTGCATAGGGTGATACCGATTCAAAAGTAAACTACAACACAAAAGAAGGTGAATTTCATGGTTAAATACGAGCATGAAAGCTTAAACTGCTAAATTTATTACCGATTGAGCCATATTACCTGCCCTTTAAAAATTTCACCAACCGCATATTTTGGATCGCCGTTCATATTTGCGGAATGTTAGACATGCTGAATCGCTTAAAAAAACTAAAATGCCGAAAATTCATAGACATATTTTAGGTGTTGTTAACCTCAGTCCGGTATTGTTATTGTTGCCCTTATATAAGCAGCACAAGGATCATAGTAAATTTAGACAGCTACACACAATCGAAAAGAAAATACTTCCAAACTTACCATGTTGATTCTATATCTATTTCCTCCTCGAGTACTTTCGACATTAGCAGAATGCCATCTTCAGGGTCGTATTTATGCTAAGACAAAATTGCTGCTTGTATTTTCAGATGAACACAGCAATTTTGTCTTAGCTAAAACAAGACCCTCAAGATGAAAGTGAGTTAATATTGAAAGTACTCAGGAGAAAAATATATATCCATCAACATATTAAATTTCTTTCTTCTTTTATTAACGATATTAAGAAACTCGTCTATAAATGTGCGTGGATGATCCTAAGAATAAGTAGACAAAATTTATCTAAATTATTCAATGAGAAATGCCTTAATGAAACAAGCTACCAAAACATACGCAGTATATATATATATATATATATATATATATATATGTGTGTGTGTGTTATGAAATGTACTAAGTTCAACAATTATTTTAATATATTTTTTGTTTATACGATATTTTTATAGATAAAATTATTTAAGTAATAAAATATTAAAATAATTGTCGGACTTAGTCCGTTTCATAATATGTCATTTGTTTACGTTAAGATAAGCTTCGAGCAGATGTGAACATTCGAGGAAAATCCTGGAAAATTTTGTCGTTTAAAAACATTAATTTAACTTTGCTAACCAGTCGCTTCCTCTGTAACTAAATAGGACGTCAGGATGCAGGCTCATGTCGGGGTCGAATATTTCCTTTGAGATTTCTCGGATATTCAGACCGGTAAATGCTGTTAATACTGTTTATTATAAACAGAGAATTTACTTAAATATATGTAAAAATGACTTATATTAGGTTGGTGCAAAAATAATGTCGTTTTCTCACATATGTTACTTTTATATATTGAATTAATTCATTGATATATATATAGCCATGTTATATATCATTTTGAAGCGCGTTTTTCGCTCTATCGAATCGTGTTATTAGTTACCGTTCTCAATCTCTTCATTTATTTTTTTGCAGGATTTTCGACAGCATGGACAAAATTCAAATCCGCACGATTTTCTTGTTCCAGTTCAAACTAGGCCGAAAAGCTGCCGAGACAGCTCGTGATATCAATGATGCGTTTGGCCCAGGAACCACTAACGAACGTGTGGCACAACGGTGGTACAAGAAATTTCGCAATGGTGACGAGAGCCACGAAGATGAAGACGGTCGCGGCCGGCCGACTCCGGTTGATAACGAACATTTGAAAGCCTTAATTGAAGCCGATCCTCGCAAAACCACACGAGAAGTTGCTGTTGAACTCGAGGTCGACCACTCAACAGTCGTTCGCCATTTAAAGCAAATAGGGAAGTCCAAAAAGTTAGATAAATTGGTGCCGCATGAATTGAACGATAATAAAAAAAAAATCGTCGTTTTGAGGTGTCTTCTACACTCCTTCTGCGCAACAAAAACGACTCATTTCTCGAGCGGATTGTGACGTGTGATGAGAAGTGGATCCTCTACGACAACCGGCGACGACCGGCACAGTGGTTGGATGCCAGAGAAACTCCACAACCCTTCCCGAAGCCGAAATTGCACCAAAAAAAGGTTATGGTGACTGTTTGGTGGTCTGCGGCCGGTCTCATCCATCACAGCTTCTTGAATCCGGGCGAAACGATTACGACGGAGAAGTACTGCCGACAAATTGACGAAATGCACCAGAAGCTCCAACGTATGTGCCCGAGATTGGTCAATATGAAGGGACCAATTCTCCTCCATGACAACGCTCGCCCGCATGTTGCTCAACTGACCCTGCAGAAGCTGAAAGAATTGGGCTACGAGTCTCTGCCTCATCCGCCATATTCACCGGACCTCTCGCCCACCGATTATCACTTTTTCAAGCATCTCGACAACTTCCTGCGCGAAAAAATGCTTCAAAAGCCGAGATGATGCCGAATCGGCCTTCAATGACTTCATCGCTTCCAGAACTCCGGATTTCTATGCTAATGGGATAAATAAACTTGTTTCACGTTGGCAAAAATGTGTCGATTCTAATGGTTTTTATTTCGATTAATAAAGTTTATCATGAAAGAAGTTATGATCTTTTGAAGTTGAACGTCAAAAACGACATTATTTTTGCACCAACCTAATAAACAATATATATATATATATATATATATATATATATATATATATATATGAGTTACCTGTCTTGCATAGGGGTAAGCAATTATTTGGAATTTTCGGTGTTAACGCATAACACATCCATAGATATGCAACCTCAGAAGATTGTCTCAGAATTGATTGAAAGTAATTGCGAATATAAAAATTAACGGAAAGAAAATTTTGGAATTTAAAATTATTTAATTAAACATGCTTGAATGAAAATATGCTGGTTGTACACACACATATATATATATATATATATAGTATAAAAAAAATCTTACATTTTGGCGACGCGTTTCGTTTTCCGACTTTTTCTAGTCAAAAATGAAATCAAAATGTTTTTGTTGTTATAGTTACATTAAAAAAATCCAAATTTAAAAATATAGACGCTTCTGTCTAAGCCTTTTTTTCTTGATTAATGTTAATTACCTTTATATTAAGGTATTTTTTCCCATGTTGACAATATAGTTAAATTCCCAGATGAATTCTGTGGACAAGACGGATTGGTATAAAATCACAATTGGAAAAAAAAAAAAATCTTAGATTTTGCCGACGCGTTTCGTCTTCCGACTTTTTCAAGGCAAAAATGAAATATATTGACTTAGACTCTAATAATGAAAATATCCTTTTATTTATCCAATCGTCCATTCTATTTAATGTTTTGAAACTCTGAGCCAGAAGCACCTTCTTTATAACCCCTTCTCTATAAAGAACTCTCATCTTTCTTTTTACTTTACTACTCTCCCGGAACTTTCCTCTTTAAACACGACTTCTCTATAAAGTACTCTCTTGAATTACTACTCTCCAAGCTCTATAAAGTATTCACCTCATTCATCTTAACTTACTACTTACCTGGGACTTCCGCGTTTAGACCCGCATTCTCTATAAAGTAATCTCCTCTTTCTTCGAACCTTACTACTCCCCCAGCTCATACGTTTTATAACCGCCTGCTCTATAATGTATTCTCCTCTTTCTTCATACCTTACTACACCCGCGGGGCTCCCGTCTTTATACTCGCCTTCTCTCTAATATATTTGCTCTCTCTTCTTACTTTACTACACCACTGGCTCTTCTGTCTTTATACCCCCCTTCTCTATAAAGTACTCTCCTCTTTCTTCGAACCGTACTACTTTCCCCGCTATTCCGTCTTTATACCCGCCTTCTCTATAAACTACTTTCCTCTTTCTTCTGGAATTACTACTATTCCAGCTATTCCGTCCTTATCCCCGCCTTCTCTCTAAAGTAATCTCCTCTTTCTCCTTACCTTAATATTCCACGGCTATTCCGACTTTATAACCGCCTTCTCTAGAAAGTACTCTCCTCTTTCTTCTTACCTTACTACTTCCCCGGGACTTAAATCTTTATACCCGCCTTCTCTATAAAGTATTTTACTCTTTCTTCTTACATTACGTCTCCCCCGGCACTTCCGTGTTTATATCCGCCTTCCCTATAATGTACTCTGCTCTTTCTTCTTGCCTTACTCATCCCCCGGCAAATTACTCTTTATACGCGCCTTCTCTATAAAGTAGTCTCCTTACATTACTATTTTCACGGCTCTACTGATTTTCTTCTCTAGAAAAGTATTCTCCTTTTTCTTTTTACATTAATACTCACCCGGCACTTACGTCTTTATACTCATCTTCTCCATGAAGTAGTCTGCTCTTCCTCTAACCTTAATACTCCGCTTGGCAATTCCCTCTTCATACCCGGCTTCTCTATCAATTAGTCTTCTTAATTACTATTCTCCCGGCTGTTCTTCTTTCGTTCTCTATAAAGTACTCTCCTTTTTCTTCTTACCTTACTACTCACACTGGAATTCCGGCGTTATACACGCCTTCTCTATAAAGTACTCTCCTCTTTCTTCTCACCTGTCCACTCCTCCGGCTCTTCCGTATTTATACCCGCCTTCTCTATGAAGTATTTTCCTCTTTCTTGTTATCTTACTACTCCTCTGGCTCTTCCGTCTTTATACCCGCCCTCTCACTAATATATTTGCTCTCTCTTCTTACCTTACTACTCCCCTGTCTTATCCGTCTTTATACCCGCCTTCTATACAAAGTACTCTCTTCTCTCTTCTTACCTTAGTACTCCCCTGGCTCTTCTGTTTTTATACCCCCCTTCTCTATAAAGTACTCTCCTCTTTCTTCGAACCGTACTACTTTCCCCGTTATTCCGTCTTTATACCCGCCTTCTCTATAAACTACTTTCCTCTTTCTTCTGGAATTACTACTATTCCGGCTATTCCGTCCTTATCCCCGCCTTCTCTCTAAAGTAATCTCCTCTTTCTCCTTACCTTAATATTCCACGGCTATTCCGACTTTATAACCGCCTTCTCTAGAAAGTACTCTCCTCTTTCTTCTTACCTTACTACTTCCCCGGGACTTAAATCTTTATACCCGCCTTCTCTATAAAGTATTCTCCTCATTCTTCTTACTTTACTCCACCCCGGTTATTCCGTCTTTATACACGCATTCTGTACAATATACTCTCCTTATATCACTCCTTATCTTTACTACTACTTATCTTCTTTTCTTCTCTATAAAGAACTCTCCTCTTTCTTCTTACCTTACTACTCCCCCGGATCTTCCGTTTTTATACCGGCTTTCTCTATAAAGTACTCTCTTTCATTACTACTCTCCCAGCTCTTCTTATCTTCTCTATAAAGTATTCACCTCATTCATCTTACCTTACTACTCACCCGAGACTTCCGCGTTTAGACCCGCCTTCTCTATAAAGTAATATCCTCTTTCTACGAACCTTACTACTCCCCCAAGGTCATCCGTTTTATAACCGCCTGCTCTATAAAATACTCTCCTCTTTATTCTTACCTTACTACTCACCCGGCTGTTCCGTCTTTATACCCGCCTTCTCTATAAAGTAATCTCTTCTTCCTTCTAACTTAATACTTCCCCCGTATATCCTTCTTTATAACCGCCTTCTCTATAAATTAATCTCCTTTTCCTTCTTAACTAACTAACTCCCCGGCACTTCCGTCATTATAACCATCTTCACAATAAAGTACTCTCCTCTTTCTTTTACCTTACTACACCCTCGGCTCTTCCGTCTTTATACCAGCCTTCTCTATAAAGTACTCTCCTCTTTCTTTGAACCGTATTACACCCGCGGCTATTCCGTCTTTATACACGCCTTCTCTATAAAATACTCCCCTCTTTCTTCTTACCCCACTACTCCCCCTTGATTTCCGTCTTTATACCCGCCTTCTCTATAAAGTACTCTTTTTCTCCTTACCTTAATATTCCCCTGCTATTCTGTCTTTATACCCGCCTTCTCTATAAACTACTTTCCTCTTTCTTCTGGAATTACTACTATTCCAGCTATTCCGTCCTTATCCCCGCCTTCTCTCTAAAGTAATCTCCTCTTTCTCCTTACCTTAATATTCCACGGCTATTCCGACTTTATAACAGCCTTCTCTAGAAAGTACTCTCCTTGCATTAAAAATCTCCTGGCTATTCTTCTTTTCTTCTCTGTAAAGTACTCTCCTCTGTCTTCTTACCTTACTACTCCTCTGGCTCTTCCATCTTTATACCCGCCTTCTCTGTAAAGTACACTCCTCTTTCTTTTTACCTTACTACCCCCACGCTTCTTCCGTGTTTATACACGTATTCTCTGTAAAGTACTTTACTCTTTCTTCTTACCTTACTACTCCCCCTTGATTTACGTCTTTATACTCGCCTTCTCTATAAAGTACTCTCCATACTTGATACTTACTACTCCGACGGCTCATCCGCATTCATAGCCGCGTTCCCTATAAAGTCTCTTTTTTCTTACCTGGCCACTCCCCTGGTACTTTCGTATTCATACCCGCCCTCTCTATAAAGTATTTTCCTCTTTCTTCTTACATTACGTCTCACCCAGCACTTCCGTCTTTATATCCGCCTTCCCTATAAAGTACTATGTTCTTTCTTCTTGCCTTACTACTCCCCCGGCAATTTACTCTTTATACGCGCCTTCTCTATAAAGTAGTCTCCTTACATTACTGTTTTCACGGCTCTACTGATTTTCTTCTTTATAAAGTATTCTCCTTTTACTTTTTACATTAATACTCACCCGGCACTTTCGTCTTTATACACGCCTTCTCTATAAAGTACTCTCCTATTTGTTCCTATTTTACTACTCCTACGGCCCTTCCGTCTTTATACACGCCTCCTCTATAAAGTACTCTCCTATTTCTTTTTACATTAATACTCTCTCTTGCGTCTATATACCCATCTTCTCCATAAAATACTCTCCTCTTTCTTCGAACCTTACTACTCCCCTGGCAATTCCCTCTTTATACCCGGCTTCTCTATCAATTAGTCTTCTTAATTACTATTCTCCCGGCTGTTCTTCTTTCGTTCTCTATAAAGTACTCTCCTTTTTCTTCTTAACTCACTACTCACCGGCTCTTCCGCTATTATACCCGTCTTCTCTATAAATTACTCTCCTTTTTCTTCTTACCTTACTACTCACACTGGAATTCCGGCGTTATACACGCCTTCTCTATAAAGTACTCTCCTCTTTCTTCTTACCTGATCACTCCTCCGGCTCTTCCGTATTTATACCCGCCTTCTATACAAAGTACTCTCCTCTTTCTTCTTACATTAATACTTCCCCGGGTCTCCTGTCTTTATACCCGCCTTCTCTCTAATGTATTTGCTTAAACTCTTCTTACCTTACTACTCCCCTGACTCTTCTGTCTTTATACCCCACTTCTCTATAAAGTATTCTCTTTCTTCGAACCGTACTACTATCCTTGCTTTTCCGTCTTTATACCCTTCTCTATTATCTATTCTCCTCTTTCTTCTTGCCTTACTACACTCCCAGCTCTTTCGTCTTGATACCCGCCTTCTCTATAAACTAATTTCCTCTTTCTTCTTAACTTACTACACTTCCGGTTATTCAGTCCTTATCCCCGCCTTCTCTATAAAGTACTCTCATCTTTCTCCTTACCTTTCTACTCCCCCGTATCTTCCGTCTTTATACCCGCCTTCTCTCTAATATACTCCCCCTCCCTGTTACCTTAATCCTCCTCCCCTTTTTCTCATTCTATTGCACTTCTTCTTCCTCCTCTTCTTCTTCTTCTTCTTCTTCTATTTGCAGTCTTTATCTTTTTTTTCATGTTCCTCCATGTTCTTTCTGTCATTCATTTTTCTTTCTTTCTTTCACCGTTCCTTACTTCGCCGTTTTTCTTTCTTCTTTAAACGATTCATCAGTTTTCGTAGTCCTTTCTTTTATTTGATTTGTCTTTCTTCTTTATCTTCCTTTCTTTCTTTCTTTCTGTCTTTTATTTCTTTCCCTTTCATTTTTTTTTTCTTTCTTTCTTTCTTTCTTTCTTTCTTTCTTTCTTTCTTTCTTTCTTTCTTTCTCCGTTCCTTACTTCCCCGTTTTACTTTCTTTTTTAAAAGATTCCTCTGTTTTTCTAGTCCTTTCTTTCATTTGTTTTTTTCTTTCTCTCTTCCTTTCTTTCTTTCTTCCTTTTTTCTTTCTTTCTTTCTCCGTTCCTTACTTCGCCGTTTTTCTTTCTTTTTTAAAAGATTCCTCTGTTTTCCTAGTCCTTTCTTTCATTTGTTTTTTTTCTTTCTTCCTTGTTCTTTCTTTCTTTCTTTCTTTCTTTCTTTCTTTCTTTCATCTATTTTTCTTTCTTTCTTTCCCTTTTCTTCCTTACTTTCTTTCTTTCTTTCATTTTTTCTTTTGATTTTTACTTTCCTTCATTCATTCTTTCTTTCTTTTATTTATTTCCCTTTTCCTTTCATTCTTTTTTCTTTCTTTCTCCGTTTCTTACTTCGCCGTTTTTCTTTCTTTTTTAAAAGATTCCTCAGTTTTCCTAGTACTTTCTTTCATTTGTTTTTTCTTTCTTTTTTCGATTTTTTCTTTTTTCTTTCCCTTTTTTCCTTCCTTTATTTCTTTCATTTTTTCTTTACATTTTTACTTTCCTTCATTCATTCTTTCTTTCTTTCTTTCCCTCTTTCTTTCATTCTTTTTTCTTTATTTCTTTATTTCTTTCTTTCTTTCTCTCTTTCTTTCTTTCTTTCTTTCACCGTTCCTTACTTCACCGTTTTTTTTCTTTTTCAAAAGATTCGTCACTTTTTCATTCCTTTCTTTCATTTGTTTTTAATTTCTTCCGTTTTTCTTTCTTTCTTTCTTTCATTCTTTCTTTCTTTCTTTCCTTTTTTCTTTCATTCTTTTTTCTTTCTTTCTTTCTTTCTTTCTTTCTTTCTTTCTTTCTTACATTTTTCTTCCTTTTCTTTTCATTCTTACTCTCCATCATTCTTTCTTTCTTTCTTTCTTTCTTTCTTTCTTTCTTTCTTTCTTTCTTTCTTTCCCTTTTTCCTGCATTCTTTTTTCTTTCTTTCTTTCTTTCATTTTCCTTTCATTTCTTTTCTTTTTTTTTACTTCCTTTATTTCTTTCTTTAATTCTTTCATTTTTTTCTTTCTTTGTACACAGGATAGAAGACCATTGCCAAAGTAACTCCACTTCTTCCAGACAAAACCAATTCTTTAGAGAACTTCACCACCTCTATCCCAGCAATGCCGTACATCTGTGGGGGCGTTTACTGGAATTCGCAATAGAAATTGGAAACCCGCACGGCAAAACCTATTGGTTGTCGGAAACTATTGGTTGTCTAACTGGAATTTTTTTTACACTGATCGCCTCAACAGATTTCGCCGGGTTTGCATTTAGTCTTTAGCTTTCCAGACATTTTTCCCACGAGCTACAACTTTGATATCGCATAACTTACGGTTTGTGGGTCTGTCCCTTTCACTTGGTAAATCACATTCGTTATCAAACATTTACCTTTTCCACTTCTTCTTTTTCTATGTGTCATGGACCTTCAGGATGTTGGCTCTCCCCAATTTCCTGTCCTTTATAGCCTTTAGTAAATTTCTTTTTTTCTTTTTCTTTCCTAATCCCTGTTGTGCAATCCTTTTACACAAGCTCTTTACATAGATTATACACTGCTTTCCACTGTCTCTTTTGCCTTCAATACGTTCTGTGAGTGTTTATATTTCCACGCCCTCTCTCCTCATAGTGTACCCTAGAAACTTCAACACTTTCTTCCTGTATCTGTCTATATTTCTGAGATGAGGTATTATGTACACTATTTACATTATTCGGACTATTGTCCTCATCTTTGTCGGCATATTTATTACAACGTTTCGGCCTTTCAGTATCTGTCTATATTTCTGAGATGAGGTATTATGTACATTATTTACATTATTCGGACTATTGTCCTCATCTTCGTTGCCATATTTATTACAACGTTTCGGCCTTTCAGTATCTGTCTATATTTCTGAGATGAGGTATTATGTACATTATTTACATTATTCGGACTATTGTTCTCATCTTTGTCGACATATTTATTACAACGTGTCGGCCGTTGTACGCTTCGGCATTCTTCAGATGATTGAAATGTCGAACTGGACCCTTGTAATTATTTATATAATTATTATGTAATTGTTCGGACTGTTGTCCTCATCCTTATTTTCCTATTCACGACGTTTCGGCCGTTGTACACTTCGACCTTCTTCAGCATCTGTCTATATTTCTGAGATGAGTTATTGTAGTTGTTTACATTGTTCGGACTGTTGTCCTTGTCCTTATGGTCTTATTCACGACGTTTCGGCCCATGTACGCACTAGCTTTCTTCTGGTGAGTGGAATTTCGATTTGAACCCTTTATTTCGTCCAACGGGACAAATTGTTCTAATTCTACATGCCAGGTCTCTTCTGGATGTCTCATTTATCTTTAACTCAACCCTCCCTTTTTTTTTCTTCACCACTACTCTAGCCAGTCACAACTCTTTGGGTGAAATCACAGGATACAACCAATATTTTTATCCTCTCTCTATGGTGGCTGGACTTTATGAGTTTAAGCGCGCTATTAGATTGGTGGGAAGGTTTCATCATTTTACAGTTGAATTGATAAGATGTAGCCGTAAGTTCTATGCTAATAGTTTCTTCTATTGAATTTCTCAGTTGCTGAACTCACTTCCGGCTTCTTGATTTCCACTCAAAATTGATCTCCAAAAATTTAAATGCAATGTCAAATGTTATCTTCTCTCTTCTTAATATCTGTTCTTTTAACGTCCTTTCTCCTTAATAATGGTTTTCTTTTTCTTATATTCATTCACAATCACTAACCCACTACGTCTTAGTGGCTTTGTTGCCTTGCTTTGGGTGAAACGATATTTAAAAGAAATTTTGGAAACAAGAAATTTCAAAGAGTAAAAATTAATTCTGCCCAGCAATCAGTTTTGGAAATTATATTTACTAAGATTTCTTTCGGATGGCGCAATATTAAGAAATGTGGCGATGAATATTGTGTGACGCCAACGTTCATGTTGGAAAGATCATGCCTGGCAGGGGCCGAAATTGATGCTCTAGCCACAGTGAAATGATGCTGCCCGACAATCTAATTGATTGACGTCTTTCCATAGGAACACTTTTTTTCTATGCACTAAAATCAATTGAGGGCGTGGCTGATGATTGCTCGCTATAACTTCCTAGACTTTGTTGCTCTAAGTAACATCTGACGCATTACCATCCCTCTTTATCGATGTTCATCTATCCACATGCTCCTTCAGCTTTTATGTGTACTATATGCATTAAGTAGCAGGGTGATAATGGCTCTCCACTACATCCTGTTTCTTATTAAAGTAACATTTGACCCATTACCTCTTTTGACCTCTTTGTCCTTGTTTTACAATCTATATGCTTCTTCTCTTCTTCAGCGTGGTGTTCCTTAAGGCTATGTGTAATCATGGCTCTCCACTACTTCCTTTATTTGTTTCTCCAAGTAACTCATCCATATGCTTCTTCTGTTTTATATGTACCCTGTCTCTTAAATACATGAGTGATCATGCCTCTCCACAACTTCCTATATTTTGTTCGAAGTAAATTTGACACTTTACCATCTCTCTTTCTCCATGTTCTGCTATCCGTATGCTTCTTCTTTCATATGTGATATCCTTTAAGGACGTGTTTGATCATGTCTCTCCACGACTTCCTGTCTTTTGTTGGTTTAAAGAACATTTGACCCTATATCTTTTGTCATTATCATTGTTCGCCCATCCATATGCTTCTGCTTTTATATGTATCTTAAGCATGTGGATGATCATGGCTCTCACCGACTTCCTGTCTTTTGTTGATCAAAGTAACATTCGACTGTTTATTGTTCCTCTTTATCTGTTCTTCCTTCATCAATACTGGATTTGTCTAAAGTATGTTAAATTATTTGCGTTGTTATAATTTCTGTGGGTCTTTGGGTGGTGATTAAGACAACTTGGCGTTACCTGCCCTCGTTGGACGTGCGCGGGTGGTAGAATTGTTTGGACAGGTGTGCCGAGGAAAGTGTTTAGTCTCTACGCTGTGCGTAGGAGGTGAGATACGATGATTATCAGCATGCTGAAAACTTCCAAGTGTTGGAGAGGAGATCAGATAATAATAATAATAATAATAATAATAATAATAAAAACGAAATCACAAAAATGTGACACTTGAGGACATCAGCAATTCCAGTTGTAGTTGGGGCGCTCGCATTGATTGAAAAAGATTCCAATAGACTCATTGAAGGGATTCCTGGCAGCCCATGCCTTAAAGAAATACAAAAAAAAATGTACTCACAAGTACAACCCACACACCAGGAAGGGCTTTAACTTTGTAAAATATGTGTTATTTCTTTTTCAAATCTGCTCAGTTAAAAATGTCATGATGCCATTTCTGAGCTTAGGTCTCAGGTCGGCACCCAGAAAGAAATGAGTATACACCAGAAATCAAAGGAAATAAAATAATAATAATAATAATAATAATACCAATTACCCTGACATAGTGATAAGAGACCTCTAAGACAAACTGTTCTTCCGTATTGACATGGCAGACTGCAGACTGTATTTTTGAAGTTCTTCCAAAAACTATCAAAATACAAGAAGCTTGAAATCGAAATCTCAAAAATATGGTACATGAGAACATTAACAATTCCAGTTGTAATTGGAGCACTC